CCCGCCGGCTTGCCGCTGAGGTGTTGCGTGAGGCTCCGCGTTGCCGCTTTAGGTGAGGCTGCGCTCCGTCGCTTTAGGTTAATACGTCGTTGCGTGCCCCGCTTGGACTGGACCCGCCACTGGCGCGCTCGCCTGCGGCCGCTGACTTACAAGTAACCCCACCAGCCCATCCAGAAACGATGCCCAGAGGAATTGCCTCGATCAGGGAAGTGGGCAGCACACAGAGGAAGGGTCCCCCAGTGGAGGCCTCTTGGAGCGTCTTGGGTTCCTCGGAGAGCTTCTTGGGGCCTCTTGGGTTTTTTTTTTGAGCATCTTGGAAGCCTCTTGGGCGCCTGTTGGGGCCTCCTGGGCGCCTTTTGGGGCCCTCTTGAAACGCTCTTGGGAGCCTCGGGAGCGCTCTTAGGGCCATCTTGGGGGACATCGATCAAACAAGAAGCGAGCATTAATTAGCGCTGCCCCTCGGGAGCCCAAGCAATCGCCTCTTGTGGCGCTCTTGGGGCGCTCTTGGAGCGTTCCCGGGCGCTCTTGGGGCCGCCTTGGGGCTCTCTGGAGCCTTTTCTTGGAGCCCTCTTGGGCCATATTGGAGCCATCTTGAGGCCTCGGATGGCCATCGGAAGCGAAACGGCGAGAAAGCAAAATACATAGAGTTTCCTCTGGCGTTGGCCTCTTCGGGGCCTCCTGGGGGAGCTCTTTGGCCACTGGAAGCTGCCTTGGAGCGGTTTCGGGGCATCTTGGGGCATCGTTGGAGCCATTCTGAGACATCTTGGGATCTCTTGAGCCATCTTGGAGGTCATCTTGGGCTCTCCCAGGCGCTCTTGGAGTCATCTTAATCAATGCCCCCCCAAGAGGCCAACATGTGGTTAAAATCCTAGCAGAATCAATGATTTGGTATTCTCGCCGAGGCCTCTCGGCGCATCTTGGGTGCTTCTGGGGGGTCTCTTGGGGCCTCTTGGGGTCTCTTGGAAGCCTCGTGGGGACATCCTGGGGGCCTGTTGGGGTTTCCTGGCCACCTCTTGGGGCATTCTTGGGGCACTCTTGGGGGCCTTGGGGTCGGGCCATCTTGGGCAAGATCGATCACAGGAGGGGGGGACACTAATTAGGGCCCCCCCCCATCAGGATGCCAAAATGGGACCAAAACCAAAGTAAAACAAATGATTTTGGCTTCCTCGCCGAGGCCCTTTTGGACGCTCCGACACCTCGCGAACCCCCTCTGTCCAGGTCCATGGGGAGGGGGTAGGGGGAGGGGTAAACCCCTCCCCGAAGGGGAAGAAGGAGGGTTGGAAGAGGAAGCTCCTTAAACCACCGACGCCCAGAGGGCTGGTGGGATTTCGGTGGGGCTCCCCGCCCTGGGGTCCTCCTCCTCCTCCTCCTCCTCCTCCTCCTCCTCCTCCTCCTCCTCCTCCTTCTCCTCCGCTTGGCGTCGCTCAGCGTCCGCGAGGCCCGTCGGCCCTGTCTCCGCAGCGCTGGCGCCAGCCTGTGCTGTGGCCAGCCGCGCGGCCGCAAGCGCAGCAGCCGCCCGCCGGGGCCTGGCCTCGGTGGCGGCCATCACCACGTCCGCAGCGTGCCGCTGCAGCAGGCTGCGTGGGGCCTGCTGGAGCTCGCGGATGGCCGCTGAACGCCCCGCGTCGCCAGCGGGCGCCAGCCTTTCGGCGAAGGCCGCCGCTTCCTCGCCCAGCCGCCCGTGGTCCTCCACCATTAACGGCAGCGCGGGCAAAAACGGATAGCGGGCTCGCTTCCTCCTCTTTGCTGCAGCAGCTGCAGCCTCGTCCTTCCTCGCAGCCCCGAGCGCCAGGGCGTCTTCGGAAACCGGGCTGACGACCGTGAGGTCGACCAAGAGCGGTTCAGCGGCGACTGGCTCGCGAATCACCAGGCCCATGCGCGCCTGAGGGCTCTGCGGCGAGGCGTGCTTGAGCAGCGCCTCGCGGTGCACGGAGCAGCCCGGCGCCCCGCACCGCTCCGCGAGCACAGCGCACCCCGCGTCGTGTTGGCGGACGAGCCAGCCGCCGACCGTGCAGCCCCGCGCGTGCTTGCCCTTCGGGTCGAGTGGCGCGCCGCAGACCCTGGCGGTGCTGGCAGGGCCTTGTGCAGCCCGGCGGGTCGAGATTCAGGCGGACCTCCACTGCGATGTCCTGAAAAAAGGGTGTCAGCTCATCAGGAAGACCACAGTGGTCGCACTGTTCAGGATCAGATGCCTGCCATGCTTCCAATGGAAAGGATGAAACAGCCCCCGAGCAGAAAAGGGTAACCACTGCATGAAGAATGCAACGAGAGCAGGCGCAGGAAGGAGCTGATTCTCCTGCTCTGTGGATAGCTAGCGTCGATCCATCAGCAAGCAGCAACGACGGGGGAGGCCCCGAGGGGCACAAGGGCGAGCAGGGGGCCACGCAAAGTAGCGAGAGGCGATCGGCGCACGCCCCAGCTTCCGCAAGCGGGAGCAGGGCGCGCACCGTTCACCAACCCACCGCAAGGAATGGCCCCCCGAGGGGAGGAGGAGACGCTGGCGGCGGAGGAGGAGCGGGAAAGGCGAGAGGAGCGGAAGAGACGAACGACGGACGACGACTAACGACGAAGACGACAGCAGAAGGGATCGTCACTCGCGTAAACACGAAACAAACATCAAAATGCTCAGTAGCTGCCCGCGCATGGGCGGGTGGAAGACACGGCGAGAGGAGGGGCAGAAAAGGAGCGACGGCGGGACACGCTCTAAGCGTCGTCCTCCACCAGCTCTGCCAGCAAGCTCGGCGCGGCAACCACAGCTCCGCCAGCCGAGGGGAGCTCCGCGTGCCTCCTCAGGACTGCTCGCGCCGTCGCCCGGCGGATCGCCACGGACAGGCGCTGGAACAGGCGTGCCGCGCCCGCCCCCAGCTCCTCGCCTCGTCTCCGATCGCTGGCCCGGGCGAGCCGGCGCAGAGTCTCGGCGCCAGTCGGGCCCCATCCTCCAGAGGGCTCCGCCACGAGGGGGAGGATGAACACGATCCCCTGCTGCTGGCACTGCCGCTCTGTGTCGAGGTGGGTCCTCTTCACCAACTCGTACTCCTGCGCCGCGCGCCCCACCTCCTGGAACGCCAGGACACGGGCAACCTGCCTGTGCGGCGAAGACACCGCGAAGTCGAAGGCAGCAGGCGCCCCCTGGAACCAGGAGGGAATGTAGACATCTGCAGGCCGGCGCCCATTCACCTGGACGTCGCCTGGGCGGGGCGGTAGGAGGCCAGGTTGCTCGAGCGTCGGGTTGAAGCCCGCATTGGTGGCGAAGGTGCCGACCACGTTCCTCGCCCCGTTGTGCCGGTGGACGCGATCCCCGGCCCCCGCGCATAGTCCTGCGTGCCGGCCGTGGCGGTCGCAGACGTCCTCGCAGCAGGGGCAGAAGTGCTCAGTCTCGTACACGGGCATGAGGAGCCTGCGCTTGACCTCGCACGCGAATTCCTCGGGTTCGAAAAGGAGCCCCAGCTGCTCGCTGGGCTGCGCCACGAGGAAGTCTGACGCGCCAGGCAGCATCTCTGAATTGATGTCAGCGCGGTCAGCTGCCCCCAAGCCCGCCAGAAAGGTCTGGTGCCCGCGTTCGTCCACCGCGGCAGAGAGCTGCTTCTGCGTGGCCCTGTCGAGCGCCGCCGGGTCGAGGCCGTCCGCCGGCGCCAGCAGGGCGTTGCCAGGAGCGCCTGCCCCTCCAGCGTAGCCGCGCTGTCCGGCGCCCACGCGTAGGCCGGGTCAAGGTCGCAGCACAGGTGCCGCGTGGCTGCGAGGCTGGCCAAGTAAGCGCCGGGCGCGTGTAGTAGCCCGCGGTCTGCGCGGGGGGGCGGGCCCTGAAAACCAGCGTCCTGTTTGTTTCCACCCCAAAACGTATTCGCTTTGTGTCCGAGGGCAGTCGTTTGGGAATGTTCCGATTGGGGTCCTGTGCTGCACTAGGGGGATCGCCTAATCCCTCAGAGCACGCGTTGTCGCCTGTATAACCATTGGCATCATCGTTGCTAACCCGTCATCAACGTCGCCGTTGATTCCGGGGTCGCTGTCGCGATGCCATCGTAATCGCCACCATCAAAACTGCACTTCCGTAGCCGTTTGGGCTCAGATGTTTTCCTTCGAGCGCCGTTTGTCCGCTGTTCTCTTTCAGTCTGCGGCTGCTCCAGGCCATGGATGATTTGTTGCCGCCAGAAGCTTCGTCGCAGAAGTTCGTTCCATCCGGCGCAGACAAGCGACACCAAAAAAATGCTCTGCCGCGCTGTGTGTATATATACCAGAAAGACGGTAGATATATTGTTGGGGCATGCCTCCTTTGTTTCGTTCATAATGTCGAGCAGAGTGCAAATGTTGTCTGGACGTGCACCCGGGCTGTTAAATTGAAAGAGCCTTATCGCATTCCTGCTGGCGGTTGTTTGTATTGGGGTCTCGCATTCAAGCTGAAGTCCGAAGTGGAAAATCACGTGCGCGATTTGGATACCGCAGTGGGAGGACAGTTGTATACTCACTTCTTAGAGTTTCTGATGAAGCCATGGCACGCGTGCGCGTTTGACATAGAACAGCTCGATGATTTTTGGGGCGATCCTGCTGATTATGTTACCGTCCAGACTAAAGCGCAGTTGGCGGCGACCTTAGGGGTTCCGCCGTCGCCCGCTGAAGATTTCGTTGAACGGACTAGGCAGGCAGACGCGTTGGCAGCACAGGAAGATGAGGTGCACGGCGAGGGGGAGGGGGCCGGAGACACTCTGGATGCGCAGTCGCACGAGCCTGGGGACCCATCTGTTGTCCAACGGCACATGCAAGCAATGTCTTCGCCTCGATCATCGGGCACAGTCTCGCACACATTCACGCCGCAGGCAATATTATCAGCTCTCTTATTCACGAGGCATTTGAGGCCGGGTGCCAAGTTGGAAGACGCGCTTGCTGACAGTGCCCCTCTTTTTTTCGATGAGACAGCTGCGAACCAGATATCCACGTTCATCTCGAGGAAGGAATGCCCTCTGCCAAGCTTGGACGTACTGCGTTATGGGCGGCTTCGCCTCGACATGCTGTCCGTGATGTTCGAGCAAAAGGCTTTCTTGCGGTCTGACGTGATTTATTTTCTCATGGCTGATAAATCACCTCAGTTGGGCTTCAATTTTCTATGTACCATTGAAGACGAGTTCAGGATACCGGCGCCCCACCTTGTCAGCTTGATGCATTCTATTCGGGATCTGAAATTAGATGATGGTTTCGTTTCCAACCACCTCCAGATGTCGTCCGTCGGTCTGGGGAAAGCTGGCATGGTGAAGGTGTCGCTGAACATCATCAACCTGTTGCTGATGAGGTCTGGAAGCGACAGTCGGTTCCATGAGCGGCGCAAGATGTACCGCGGCTTCGTAAGCGACCAGGGCTCGTGTGAAAGGGGCGTGCCTGACGTCGCCCTGGACGTCGTGGCTCGCTATCGGGGTTCCTTTGAGGCGGCCTCTGCAGATAGTTTTCTATTTCCTAATTTGCTTGGTAGCCCTGGAGCTCTGCACATCTGCTACGACGCCCTGGAACTCGCGTGCAAGAAGAACAGCTTGCACGGCGAGTTCATTGAGCAACTGAAGGCGCTGCTGGATTTTACCACGAACCAGGAGCTCGTGAGGAAGTTCCAGGCCACGTGCTTCGAAGGCGCGCGTGAGGAGCGAGAGAGATTCAAGAGGCATTCAGCTTGTCACGTTGATTGGAAGTGGGAGTTCCTCTCGCGAGCCCTCGATACAATGATGCCACAGTTCCCCACAATCAGGGCTCGGTTCGACGCCGAGAAAATGCTGAGTTCGGATAGCAACCGCAAGCTCACTAACGCCACGGTGAAACGCGTCGCGGATATCATCAATTCCGACTTTGAGGTTTCTGCAGAAATGTACCGGGTACTGGGCAAGACGATCGAGAAGACCACTGGGTCCTTGGAAGCTTGCGACTGCCATCTCGATATGCACGTGCCAGGGCGGACGCGCAAGCGCCGCCACAGCATGATGCGGCAGCAAGGCCGGGAGCGTTGCTGCTGGCGAGGTCGACGCCTCGCCTGGTTCATCGCCGCTGGCCGCGAGGAGCTCTGCAGCAATGTCATGACATGTTCTAGCGATGCGTTGCAATTCTTCATTTCAAGATTGCCAAATGAAAGTCGGCACAAAGTGGTGGCAGCTTTGGCGCAGTTGCGTTTGGACTTGGTTGAAATATTGCAAGCAAAGTTTGATTATCTCAATCGCATACCTCATCTTGCTATTGGGGCCTTCTACTCGGAGCAGGGCGGCGCAGCCGGCCAGGCCAGGCAGATTCTCAAGCAATGCGTCGACGAGTACGACCATGCCATCGCGAATGGCAGGGGGCTTTTCCTACACCGAGTCTCCCGCCGTCTCCTTGCGCCCTCAGGCGGGGTCCGCCCCGAGATCGACAGATTTCTCGCGTCTGAGGGCGAGAGCTTGCACAGGTTTCCACAGCTATACGTTGCTCTTTTGGAGTACGCGCTGATCCCAATGATCGAGCGCAAGATTGAGGAGGTACATGCAAGGATCAACCGCATTGGCCGCTCGTGTTTCGGGGTCGGGCTTCCGTACGTATGCTCTCTGGTTCGGTCGGATGCTATCTTGCGCAGGCTCCGCGATGATTCGACATTCAAGGCGTTCGTTGTTCAACATTGGAGGTCGCGCAGCCTGATTGATAACCTACTCCAGTTGCGTTTCAGAAAATCTGATCTCACTGGGAAAGGTGTGAGGGATAAAATTAAGATGGTTTACCAGTGCAGCATCGATGAGGAGTTCATTGACACTGCAGGCGCACGAGCGGCACAGGCTACATTTGCTTTGGTATCTGGCGTTCAAGCGAAAGTTACATTGACGGATGAGGAGGCTGAGTGTTCAACATTTCTTAAAAGCATAATGGATGTTGGCGCGTACCTATCAATACCCAGAGATATATTTAATGCGTGCGCTGTCGAGGATGTCGTGGAGCCGTCGGCTGCCGATGCGAGGCAATTGGTTTCGAGTGCCGTTACTGCCGTCCTGACGGCGCCCCATGACGTGAATTTCGATTTGAGAACCATGCGCATGGTCAAGGTGGTTAATACTTATCCAGAGAGCAGGTATACGACTCCCCTGCGTCACATCAGTGAGAAACGAACGTGCGTCACAGTGCAGAAGCTCAGCACGAAAATACATCGTCCTCGTATTCTTATGTGCGGTGCTGCGCCCGACCGTCTGGCCAAGCTGGACTTGAGGGGCGGCTTCAGTCGATTGGGGTACTTTATGCAGATGGTTCACAAATGGCGGTTCCACGCTTCGGGTTCTCAAGCAAGGCGTCAGAATTGACCACGCGTTGCCGACGTTTGACGCCGACCGTGATCTGCCCGGAATGTTCCCTCCAGTTGTCGGCGGGTCAGAGACAGTCGCCGTTCGCCCTCCCCCGAACGCCGGCGGCGGCCACGAGTTATCCTGCGTGACCAGCACTTCCGATATGAGCATGGCCGTCAATGCGCTAGCGCACAAGGGTGCTTATACTGACAGTAACGTTAAACTTAATTGGAGGGGTGATTTGTCTCAGTATCATTGGTACGTATTTGAAGCACTGTCCAGGATTGGCGCCGTCTCGATTGAGCAGGACGTTTCCTCCTCCTCCTCCCCGTCCTCCACCTGCACCTTCTTCCCCCACAGCCCGGTATGACGTCTTCTCCTGAGAGTTATCCCCTCCTTCACCCTCAAACTGAGGTAGCGGAAAAACTTTAAAAGCTTCTGCCCAGGACGCATCCTTGTCTGGCCAGCTCATATCATTGAGGAGGGAGTTTATCAAATGGGAAACAATACACATACTAATGGACCCTGTTCCGCTTACGAGATGTTCGTCGTCTCTCGGCTTATTGAAAAAGTCCAAGGCTGAGATCATTTGCGCGCTTCGTGCTGACGGGTGGCAGCCTGCCGTGGAGAAAAGGCGATCTGAGCTGGCCCCTTTCGTGCGAAACGGAGTGCGGCGTTTCTTCGAATCCTTGAAGGTTCAACAGAGTTACTTGGCGGCTCTCTCGGCGTCAGACCTCATATTTGCGAAGGACAGTGCCAGCGACTGCTTTTCATCTCGGCCCCAAAGATAGCTCTAACTTGAGGGGTCCAGTTTGTGACATCTTCCCCCCATATTCCTTCCCCTCTTCCCCTCCATCATCCCCCATATTCCTCTCCATCTTCCCTTCCCCTCCTTCTCCATCTTCCTCTCATCAAAGCTGGCGCAAAAGAGAAAACGCATAGGGTGGCATCCAGAGGTTGCATCTTTTCGGAAATCCTCACCAGCCTGTCCAAAAACAGTAGCAAGGCGAGTTGCCCTGGCCACCTGGAGGGGCGATGAGGTTGGAGGGATGAGCGGGGAGGGAGGGGCCATTTACAATCGCAGTCGTATAAGAGAGTGGTATATGATACGGGGGTCGTGAAGTGGAACATGGGGGTGGTGAGGGTGGGCGCTGGAATCAACCGCGCATCCAAGTCTGAAGCGCACGTCTGCATGCGAATTCCGGTGGTCCCTCACATATTTCCGATGCGCCCCGTGCTTCAAGATAGCATTTTGGGCGTACCGGCCTATCCTCGATCTTTCGCTGCGCCAGCTTATCTTTGACACGGATGAGGAATCGAATTTGTCTCAAGTGCAACCGCCTCCTGATAACATTTTGGATTTACCGGCCTATCTTCGATTTTTGTTTGTGCCGGCCTCTCGGGGCCAGGGGTGGGGTAGTAAATCCGTTTCTAGCGCAACCGCCTTCTGATAGCATTTTGTATTTACCGGCCAATCCTCGATTTTGTTTGGGCTGTGCCGGCTCTTCTGGGCCGGGCCATGGGTGAGGAATAAATCTCGTCTCAAATGCAACCGTTTCTGGGTCGTCAAACGTTGCTTCACTTTACAAGAGCAGCCTCTTAGGTACAGGGGGGGTCACGCCCGCCCGAGCGTGAAGCACGCGCCTGCTCAGGACTGCTCGTGGCCTCTTTAATGTGTAAGGGCCCGCACTGCAGCGGTTCCCCGTGGGCCGCGCTCGATGGCATGGAAAACAAATCACTCAAAATGGTCCCTCATAGCTCCCCGGGGCACGCAAAGCAAATCACTCAAAATGGCCCCTCGGGGTCGCCCGGGGCATTCATATGGTTTTGTCGGGCACAGTTGTGATCCTCCCCCCATGCATGGGGAAAGGGGAGGGGGAGTGGGGGGGAGAGAGAGCGAGAGAGAGAGAGAGATTAGGGGGATCGTATTGTCAGTGGTGGACAGTGGTGGGATTTTAGAGGCCCCGCGTCTCAAGTAGCGGTCCTGTGAGTGGGTGGGTGGCCAGAGAGATGCCGTCGCTGGCACCGTGAAGGGAGTACCTCGTATCAGGCACGATGGGTCCAACAGCTACTATAGATGTCTCCTTTCGTGCAGCGGACTTAGGTTACGAGCTCTTCTCGATAAGGACGCTGAGTGCGCAGTTGGCGAGTCAGAGTGGAAATCCTTGCTCGACGATGAGGGTCCGCGGCCTCATAGCGATGAGCCGGGGCCCGATGGAGGAGATCCTGGGCCCCTTCACGCGCCTGATCTTGGCGTTCTCGGGGATGGCGCCATTTTAGAGAGGCCCTCTGCAGAGCAACCTCTAGGGCCCCGCCTTTACGATTTTAAAAGGTGCTTGGCCATTTGCGAGGAGTGCGGGGACGCACCCTTGAAAGTGTACTTCGGCCACACCGGCATGAACAGAAAGGTTGGGCGGGGTGCCGACGCGCTGGCCACGTGAATTGCGTGCGCTGGCGGGAGGCTGACGCTTTCGGCACCAGAGAGAAGTATGCCGCTTACATGGTTGCGTGGACGACAATTCCAGATTGCGGGAAGGACCGCGATGAGCATATGATGAAAGAGCCGACTGATGAGGCAGTGGCAAAAGTGTTGCGCACTCTCACGCTTAGAGATTTCTGACAGAGCAAAAATGCACCAGTGATCCTCGTCGTCGTTGAGCGGTGGCCCGCATCTTCCGGCGTCGGCGACGCAGTTGTATCAGAGATTCTCGGGTCAATTGGTAGTCCGGCATCCCTTTCGGATGCGCGTTCGACACCGTGTCAGCGGAAAAGCATCTATCATATAGATACATGATTGGTTTTCTAAATGTTTTGGTCGATTTTGCATCAACTCATGTTTTTGGAGCTTTCGATTTGGGAGGGTCGCCCTTGGTTGCTCCAGGTTCCGTGACGATTATCGATGTAGTTTCCCATTGCAATCACTGGTGGCACGTTGGGTACGCTGATGGTGTATTTCAGGATCGGAGCATTTTGAAAATCAATGCTACCTGGGGGAATGGGGCAATTCGACGTATCGTTGAGCCCGAATTTGAAGCAGGATGGCGAACAACTGCGAATAGAGATACGTACGTGCTACACATGCATGCGCAGAGATCCATTCGGTAGAGCAACAGGGCACGACATCCCGAGAACACGCACAGAGCTCGACTTATTCGAAACTCTACAAGCCCTCCCCGTTCTCCTCCTGGTCATCATCATCATTTCCCCCTCCTGCTCCTTATCCTCCTCCTCCTCCGTCTCCTTCACATCGTCGCCCTGTTCCTTCTCTTCCTCCTCCTCGTCCTCCTTCACGTCGTAGTTCGTGGTTTGACTGCTGCTCTCTATCCAATTCGGGCGTGATCTGTGGAGCCAGCAACATGGAAGGTCATTGTGTTATCGACTCCAATGAATATATCATTGCACATGTTAGGTCTGAGCCTCGGAGGACACTTATCGGAGCCATTATGTGCCCTCAGGCGAGGGGGGGGGGTGTCTTGGGTCTGCCATGCCATCCACGGTTGCTCTGACAGGGCACGTCAGGCCAAAATCCCCGGCGGTGTTTTCGAGGCCGCGTCAGGCCAAAATCCCCGGCGGGTTTTTCTAGGCCACGTCAGGCGGGCCGCGTAATCTGGGTTAAAACTGAGGCGAAGCGGAAGTGTGACGAGATGTCGCCGGGACCCCCCCGGCGACAAATGGTCACCAGCAGCGCTGGGGCCCCTTAGGCGACAAATGGTCACCAGCAGTGCTGGGACCCCTTGGGCGACGAATGGTCACCAGCATGCCCGGCATGTGTCTTCAGCTAGGTGTAGCAAGAGAGGTTTCGTGACAATTTCGTGCCCAGCATGTGTCTGCAACTCGGTGAAGCAAGATAGGATTCGTGAGAATGTCGTGCTCGGCATGAGTCTGCAGTTAGGTGTAGAAGGAGAGGTTCCGTGACAATGTCGCGACCGGCATACGTCTGGATCTAGGTGAAGCAACAGAGGTTTCGTGACAATTTCGTGCCCTGCTTGAGTCTGCAGCTAGGTGGGGCAACAGAGGATTCGTGACAATGTCGTGCCCAGGGTGAGTCTGCAGCCAGGTGTAGCAAGAGAAGTGTCGTGACAAATTTCGTTTCGTAGCGCTCGGTCGCCAGAGCGTCTTCTTGTATATGTTAGCTTCCAACTGAATTGTGGAATAAGTCATCCACTATGATGGGGAGGAGGAGGAGCAGGAGGCGGAGGAGGTGGAGGTTCCACAGCCGTTTGGGATCTGGCTGAAGTTTTCGCGAGCAGAGTCTTGCCAATTTTCCGGAGTCGCTGGGCTGCCGCGCCCTGTCAATGGACCTGCATGCGATGTCCGTGAGTCCGCCTGGCGCCGGTGGCGCTAGCTCTCCCGCCGCGTTCCCCCCCAGGAGTGCCGACTCCAACTGTAGCAGCCCTAGCATGATGGAGGGCATGCTTGGCGCCGCCCCTTCTGTGGTCGGCCCCCCAGGGAACGCGAGCGACATCCTTGCTATGCCATGCGCCCGTCAGGGTGCGAGTGCGAGGAGCGTCGTTGCAACCTTCCTCTGCTCCCAGTGCGGCAAGACGTTGCCCATCTCGATGGGCTTTGCCAAGGGTGCGCAGATGTGGTGCTTCAAGGACAACGCCTCCTACAACGCTCTGCAGGTGCGCTGGACGAAGGTCGCCGCATTGAAACAGTGGTGGAAGAGCTTATCCCCCGAGCAGAAGAGAGCTTGGTTCAACAAGTGGCAGGTCATGTCTGGGAAACGCAACTTCGACGAGATCCTCTACAGCGAATCGCAGACCACTGGGGCCGACGACATGCTCGACGTCATCGACAGGTGGCTGCCTTGGAGCGCTTATCTTCGAGAGGGGCTCATGCGCCCAGGCGCCACCGAGATGCAGTTGCAGTTGGAGTTCCAGGAGGCAGTCAACAACCGGCGCCACCAGTGCAAGTTCGTACTAGGAGAGTGGTGCGTTCCAGTGTTCGCTGGCCTGGAGCGTCGCCAGCGTGCCCGCACGTCGGTGGAAGCGACCACCAGTCGCCAGGCAACAGGGATAGACGACGTGCATCGCCTGCAGCAGTTGCAGGCCAGCGGGCAGCAGGCAATCGAACGCTTCCAGTCGCAGGCCACGGATACGCTGACTCTGAGTGCCCCGGTCTCTGCGCCGACGGCCCCAGGGGACTCAAATGTATACCGAGCCACCCTTGAAAGGCAACGGACAGAGGAACGTTCAGCAACGCATCAAACTCAACATCGTTAAACTGATTTTCGGGGGCGACTTCCGAGGCGCGCTGATGCGAGCAGGTTTTGGGGTTACTGGGTCATTACTGGGTTGTTCCTGGGCTGTTCCTGGGCGGAGCTGGCCGAATTGATGCCAGCTTCGAAAAACGATCCCTTTGCATAGAATATTCCGGCGAATCTGATTCCCGCGATGCGATGTCACGGAGGCTTCGCGTGTGCCCCCAGGTGCAGGCTCGCCCTGAAGACCAGCCAGTGCTTCCCAGTGTCCGCAACACGATGTTCGAGGATATCTCCCGCGAGGACTGCTCGGGGCGCAGATCGGTTTCGATTCCTTAGCCCTTCGAGGCTCTTGCGTCGCATTGACCGACAACATGCGCGGGGCTCGACCTATCCTAAAATATTTTAGAATAGGTCGCTCACTTTGGAATCTGGGGGGATGGCCGGGGGGCAGCGATAGGGCGCGCGGGCATGCGGGGCCGAGAGTTTCGAGGGAAACAGCTTTGAAACCAGATCAATCGCCTGGCATCGAGGCGGGCAACATCAGCCGGGACGTCGCCACGCGCAGGGCGATGGAGGCTGCGGAGGTCCGGATGGGGGGAATGCTGAGATCCCCAATTCTCGGTGGTGCCTTTGGGCCCGCGCTTGAGGGCTTCCTTCTGCTCCCAAGCACGGCCGGGGCAGCCTCCATGCCTGTGGATCTTGGTGCATCTCCGATCCGTCCAAGGCCCTCGAGGCCAGCGGCGTCGCGAGGGCAGGCGCCGGGAAGGGCAGCGAGGGCAAGGGCGGCGGACGGGCGGCGCCTCTTGGCTTAGAGAAGACGAAGCTGGAGAATGCCGTCCGCATGACGAGAGCCAAGCTTTCAGAGGTCGTCAAAACCGTGAGTGACCAAGCAGATGAGGTCATCGGCAGGGTCGACAAGCTGTTCCCTGCTGACGGGAGTGGCAATCGGGACGGCTCCGTCGGCGAGACCGTCCAGGACGTCCGCGCCGCCAAGGAGACAGCGCTAGCCCTCTTCAATGAGGGTGGCGAGTGCAAGAGGATTGTCGACGAGTTCGCCGGCTCTGCCGAGGGAGTGCATAGCGTGCTGGAGATCAGGCGCAGGGGGCAACCTCCCCCCCGAAAAGAGCTTCGCCATCGTTGTAACACGTGAATCCCGCACCCTTTCCTAGCGGGGTCGATGTATGAGCGTTCTTGTTTCGATTTTGATGTTTTTTTGAATTGCATTGTCGGGCGTGGAACACCATGCCAGGAATTGTCCAGGAACGAACCAGTAGCAGCCAGTAGCGGCAAAGAGTTGCAGTCAATGCGCACGCATTGGCTGCGAAGGCGAAGTGCGTCGGGGCGGGCTGGGGCCCCCTGTGCCCGGCCTCTCGAAGGGCCGTGCTGGCCCGGGCGGCGGCCGTGCACAAGGCGATCAAGACTGAGAATGGCGTGAAGGCCTTTTTCGCGCTGGTCGGCAGGACGAAGAAGTGGCTCGCCGTCCAGGAGAGGGAGAAGGGCAGGCAGGCGCGGGCTGCGGGTGAGGCGTCGGAAGTGTCCTCAGAGCCGAAGGCACCGCTGACGGGGATCCTCGAGAACTTCGCGAACATGTTCCCAGACGCATGCTCCAACAGCATCTACGAGGCCAAGGCCGGGGTGAAGATGGCGAGCGTGGCGGTCGCCAGCGGGAAGGACCCCCACGAGGCTCTCAGGACGAACGCCATGATCAAGCGACACATTAAAGACTGCGAGTCGCACATGAAGCAGACAGGCCAAAAGTGGGCCGCTAAGACGATGGAGGACACTGGGGCCCCTGGCAAGCGCGTCAGAAAGATCATGAAAGAGGGTTGGGACAGCATGCTGCTGACCACCATGGTCCTCCCTCAGCTCGACTGGGCCAAAAAACTATACGCACCGCAGACGCTGAAATACAAGGCTGGCTTCTCCAACGTCCTCTCGACATTCAATTGCTGCTCCGAGGTTTCCGCCGTGCTGTCCGGCAGGATGGTGGTCGTGAGCATGCCCATCAGCGGCATCCCTGGCTCGACGCTGAAGGATAAGCGGCACCTCTTGCACATGAGCCCGTTCGATTCTTTGAAGCAGGTATACGAATCCACGGGTGGATGCTGCAAGGTCGCGTCCAAAGATGACACGCTCTTGATCCCGTCTGGCCACTTAGTCCTCAAGGCGGCGCTGGAGGAGTCCGTGGCTTACAGTTGGGCCGTCGCGGGCGACGAGGCCGACCACCAGCGCGTCAAGAGTGCACTCGAGGCCTTGATGGTCAGCTATCCTGATATGCGCGCGCCGGCCCATGGGCTTTCCCAGTTTCTCGAGTTTCTCTCGGACCAGGCTTAGGCCAACAATTCATAATAAGATCCATGGGGATCTGATCGGGGGGCTGCGCTCGAGCAGCTGGCGGGCGTACCGGGCGCCGCGCGAGTGCGGCACGTTGCAGTGGCGAGATTCGGCGGGGTGGCTGGTCACAGTGAAAAGTTATTATTGTTTATCTTGCTCTCCTCCTGCCGCCTGCTGCGATGCTTACTTGTCCTTCCTCTAGTCCTCATCCTCTTTCTCCTCCCGCGCCTCTTGAGATGTTGAGTCCATCAGTTTTGTTTGGATCGTCGTCCTTCTCTGTCTCCCTCTCTTTTATCCTCCTCCCTCCTCGGGGTGCTCGTCGTCGTCGTCGTCGTCGCCCACCCGCCCCGCGACCGCCCTTCGCGGCCGCTGGCGGGCGACGGTGGCGGCGCAGTGGCGCCGCGGGACGGGCGTGCACCGCCGTTGCACCGTTCCCACCCCTCCTCCGTCAGCACCTCTCCTCCCTTTCTCCGCTTCCTCTCCCCCTCGCCTCCCCTCCCTGCCCCATACTTTCTCCACCCCCCTTCCTTCCGCTCCTCCCTCCTCGCGCTGCCTTCCCTCCCCCTCCGCTCCCCCTTCCCACCCCCGCCCAGCCATCCTGGCCCATGCCTCACCGTCCGTTCTTCCTCATCCTCCTCACCTCTTCCATACTCGTGCGTCCAACTTCATTCCCATCACCTTCTCTTCTGCTCCATCCTCGTCCTTCCCCCCCCTGCCTGCCCCTCGTCCCCCCTTCTTCTCCTCCACCACCTCCCGCTTGCCTTCCCCCTCCTCCTCCTCGTCCTCGTTCCTCCTCCGTTGCCATTTTGGCCCGAAGCCTCAACTTGGCAAGGTGCGCGTGTCGGTCGATATTTGTTTCGAAATGCCACGTTGGTGGATCGTCGACTTCACCTTTGCGCGCGCATTCGTCTCCCCCGCGAGGGGCTTGACACAGTGGTAAAACGCGTCGCCATGGCGCAGGGCGACCCCCAGAGCAATTGCATTCAAGTTTACACGACTATAACTCGCTATGCGCATTGACCCTCACCCCTGAGAGGGGCGGGGGAGGCGCGAGGAGGAATCTGGATGAGTTTACGAGGCGGTTTCTTATACAGGCCACCCCGTGACACAGCGGTGATGGTTACCTGCGCGAGAGTATGTAGCCAACGTGTCGACCACCAACCTCTGTAGAGATCAGCGCCAACGAAAACGGATCATCTTCCCCCAATTGGCGGGCCAGACCAGACCGGATGTTCCATCTGGCGCCGCGCTGCCGTATCCCATGCCACGTTGCTCCGCTATCCTTCCGCTCTTGGGGTGCCCCGTTGCGCGAGTAGTTCGGCGGCAGTGGTGCGTTGTGGTTGCGGAACCGGACGGATCTGATTTCTCGCATCGTAACCGCTTGATCCAGCTCGCCTCGCGCTGCCCAGCGCGAGCCGCGAAACATCGGTTCACGTCGTGGCGGCGCACATTCCGCGGTCTTGGCTGGCGTGAACGCGCAGGCTGCTACGGGGCAGCTTGGGGCGGTTGGACCATGTTTCGTGTCTTCGCGGCACGCTGATCAGTTCTCGCAGCGTTTCGCGACATGCGTTGCAGAGAGCATCCCATGCGGTGTTCCGCGGCGCGCGTTGGGAGCAACTTGCCCCTCGTGGCCAGCGGGCGCTGGGCCCACCCCCCCGTGCAGACCGCGGGCTACTAGGCGCGTGTGCTGACAGCTCCCGCAGACCGAGCCCCGCGTGGGCGAGCCCTCTGGCTGCCTGGTGCCACTGCGCGCCCGTCAGGTCCGCCGCCAGCAGGTTCGACAGCGCGCGCCGCTGGCCGTCGTCGAAGCAGTGCAACGCTTCCGAGAGCAGAGCAGACGGCGCCGTGCGGGCGTTGTACACGAGTTTCGCGTAGCTCGCGCAGTAGCGCAGGAGCGCGAGGCCCACCTGGGGGTGCAGGTTGGCGAGCGCCTCCAGGGCGGGCTTCGTCTTGTCGGCGCGGCGCTGGGTGAACGCCTCGCAGTAGTCCTTCGGCCCAATAGGCGCTCCCAAGAGCTTGAAGCCGCCTCTGATGACAACGCGGTCGACCCCCGTCTCTGCGTCCGCCAGGAGAGGCGCAGGGAAGAGGTCTGCCAGGCCGCCCGGCCTGCGTCCGCAGGGGACTACGAGCTCGCACTTGCCGAGGTGGAGCAGGAGGCCCAAGTCAGGGCAGCGGCGCTGCAGAGTCGCTAGTGCTCGCGCCACAGCCTCCTTCGAGCCCGCCAGGAAGCCGTCGTCCAGGTAGAAGGCGCATAGGTCCAGGTCTGCAGCGCCCGCAAGCTCCTCCAACACCGCGTGTACGGCGAGGGCGAAGATCAAGGGCCCTAGCGGGTCCCCCTGTTCTACGCCTGCCTGCGAAGACATCACATGGCTGCCAAAACACAGATTGGAGGGCTCCGCGTAAGCCCAGCGCGCCCAGCCCTCCAGTTCTGGGAAGCGGGCACGGACAGCGCGCAACGCGGGGTCACGGTTCAGCGAGTGGAAAGCGTTTGCAAAGTTGAGCTTGAGCAGCACCTTGTCGTCCTCGTCTGCATTTCGCTCGCACCACTGGCGCACGGCGTGAACCGTGGCTTCAGCCCCCAGGGGGCTGCAGCAGCCTGTCTGCAGCGGCCAGAGCATCTGGCGCGCGCGACCCTTGACGTGGTCGCAGATCACCTTGCTGGTCAAGCGGCGCAGGACCTCGCCGACTGCGATCGGACGAAGTCCCCCGTCGTCCTTTTCCAACGCCACCAGCTTCGCACCTGCCAGGTGCGGCGCCAGCTCCCGCGGGGCCTCTCCGTTGGCGAGGGTCTGGCACGCCGCGGCGAGCAGCTCCGTGACCGTCGCCCGGGTGGCTGGGGTCATGGCGTCAAGCAGGTGCTGTGCTCGGAGGCCGGAGGGGCCAGGGGCCGTCCCTTTCGGGAAGGCTCGCAGCGCCCGCAGCGTCGAGTTCGGCGTGAGCTCGGGCGCGGCCAGGAGTTGGTCCAAGTGCCCCAGCGGGAGGGCAGCCGCAGGAGGGCGCAAGCGCTCCAGCGCACGAGCTGTCTCCTGCGTGGGCTCGGCGAGGCCCCCAGAGGTCAGAGCAGCGCAGCCCTTGCCCCAGAAGCCCTCCGCAGCGCAAGCGGTCGCGCGAGCTGCCCTCTGCTCAGTCGTCGGCGCCTCCTGCCGCCGGCGCCGCTGCCCTGCGTTGCGCGCGCGCGCCTCCTGCCAGAGCGTCAGGCGCTCCCCAGCGTCCCAGCGCGCGAGGCGGTCGATTGTGAAGGCGGCCAGCGCAGGTTTGTCCTCGCGGCCGGCACGGGGCGGCAAGCAGAGCACGGCCTTTGCCACCAGCTGGAGGTCCGTCCAGGCTGCCACCGAGTTCTGCGTCGCAGCGTTCGCGAGGCAACGGGCGAACGTGCGGGGCCGAGCCGCCCGGGCACGCTTGGGCACGTACTTCAACGTGGCGATTTCCACCATGTGGATGTCGGCCAGGGAAGGGCGCGCCCCCGCGCCTTGAGCTCCTGGTGGGCCGCCTTCGGCTGGCGGGGGCGCTGTGTAGCTGGTCGGAGAGCGGCTCGGTCAGCCGGGCGGCAAGAGGGGTGCACGCCCCGGTTGGCGCCCACGCACAGGCCACACACACGGCAACGAGTGCGGCCATGCCGTCGCAACCATTCCGAACTCACTTCTCCCGCGAGCTGTCCTGCAAGGTGGGCGTCCAAGTGCCGGCTGAGGCTTTGGAAGCTGGCCCAGCCCGGGCGCCTGGCCGAGTCCGAGCAAGGGCACCCTGCGACAGGGCAGCGCCACCGAGCCGGGGGAGGATCAACAGCCGGAGGCATCGCGTCATCAAAGTTCAGCCGACGCACTCCCTGCTCCAAGTCCGCAGCTCCGTCGTCCGCGGGGCGGTCCTGGCGGCGTGGAGGGGCAGAACCGGGTCGTCTGGCGACTCGCCTTCTATTCTAGCGCCCGCTTTGTCTCCCAATGGCGGCGACGACAGTCCTCGCTCGCCACTGCGGCTGCGGCCCCTCCTGGGCCTCTCCCCCCCCAGAGGGGTGCCTGGTGCAGGAGGTCCCTCCCCAGGGAACTCCAAAGTTGAGTCGAAGTCCATCGCGCTCCATGTAGTGGCCAACGCGGGCGAGGCCATCGCAGCAGCGGCAGCCGCCGGAGTCGACGCCCACATCCAGGCGACCGCGCCGACGGCAGCACCCGCCAGCGCCGAGACCGAGAGAGAACAGACGAGTAAGGCGAAAGCGCCCCCATACTTCATGCCAAACTTGCTCACGACCTCGCGCAACCGGGGAACTCTGGAATGGCAGCTTACCCGAAATATCACCATCGCCCAAAACATGTCGGCATAGAGGGCGACAATCACCGCGAATACCCAGAATACGCACCCTGCGAAGCGCAACAACATGAGGAGCCCCAGGAAGTTGCAGGGCGACGTGTTCTCGACCCCCTCTGAAGCTCGATCACATCCCTCCTCCTCCAAAGCGCCTAACGTCTCGATCACTAAGTAAAGGATGATCGCGAGCACCTCCGAACGGCCTCGAACATGCCAAAATATTCGCAATGCTTCTGGCGGGATCGGCGCCGGGGGAAATACCTCCAGGATGGCCGAAGACGTGCGGGCCCAGCGCCAGGGAGACCCCTCGCAGTTCTTTGTCTACTGTCGTGCCTGATGTCATGCACTCCACTCTCGGCTCTGAAGAAAGCTGCAATGTCCTACAACCTCCTTCCCTGACCTCCCCAATTAGGCACGAATCCTCGTAGGCCACCACAGGGAGCAGCAGCGCCACGCGCGTGAAGAAGCAAGCGAGGCGTGACATTACGCCGCAACCTGCACGAGATACATTAGCTGCCCTGCTGGCCCATGCCGAGCTCTCTGAAGGGTGGAATGAAACAGATGGCAATAAAGTGGGAGAGGCAGGAGCAGGAGACGGCTTGAGCAGGAGACGGCTTGAGCCAGGTGTGCGTTGCTGAGGCGGTGCTGAGGCGGTGGCGCTGTTGCGTGGGGGCCTGCAGCCAGCCGCTCGCCCCGGGCCCTCC